GTGGTCTGATAACAAGTTATCATTTATTTCCGCATGTAACGGATCCAGTCTGTTTTCCAAATGAGAGGTGTGCAAGTCCCAGATGTTGAGAAGCTGTATTTTAACTAAGAAAAAATTCCGCTTCCTGCATCTGTTGAAAGATAATCATTCATATTGCCGTCCCTTATCTTTCTTGTGACAATTTGCACAGTTCTTGCCAGAATAAATGCCATTATCTGTATGTTTCAGGGAATTCCCCAAATTGATCATTTTGTGAGTGTGTGTATGCGGTATATGTGAGAGAGCTTCAGTAAAAACACTTCTAAAGGGTGAAGGCTTTTTGTATGACATAGATATGAAATCCCTTCCTCTGGTAATAATTAGGTTATTCCCAGAAGCACAGTGCCATTCTTTAAATAAAAGCTTTCCTGTTTAAATCTTTGTTTTTTGAGATGGAGTCTCACTCTTATTGCCCAGGCTGGAATGCAGTGGTGCGATCTCGGCTCACTGCAACCTCTGCCTCCCGGGTTCAAGCAATTCTCCTGCCTCAGCCTCCCAAGCAGCTGAGATTACAGGTGCCTGCCACTACACCTGGCTAATTTTTGTATTTTAGTAGAGATGGGGTTTCACCATTTTGGTCAGACTGGTCTCAAACTTCTGACCTCAGGTAATCTGCCCACCTTGGCCTCCCAAAGTTCTGGGATTACTGGCATGAGCCACCTCACCCGACTGCTTAAAGCTTTTCGAAGGAGCAGACCACCTTGAAGATTCCACCTAGGGTTGATATGTGTTTAATTTATTTTATAAATTATTCTTGTCTTCATTTTAAAGCTTTGGCTATATAGTCAGAAATGTCCTAAACAAACTATTTTGCATTTTATATAGAGAAGAGTCCAGGTAAGAAAAATGAAAACTCAGCCTTTATGTAAGCTCCAAGGATATCAGGGCTTAGAAGGCTTTTCTAGTTTTATAAGAATTTGTACTATTGATTTTTATATATTCTTGCTTTTTGTGTTTTTTTTGTTTTGTATTTTTTAGGATTTTTTTTTTTTTTTATGAAGTCTCGCTCTGTGTTCCAGGCTGGAGCGCAGTGGCACGATATCAGCTCACTGCAGCCTCCGGCTCCTGGGTTCCAGTGATTCTCCTGCCTCAGCCTCCTGAATAGCTGAGACTACATGTGCATGCCACCACTCTGGAGTAATTTTTATATTTTCAGTAGAGATGGGGTTTCACCATGTTTGAGGGTCTCAATCTCCTGACCTTGTGATCCTCCCTGCCTTGGCCTCCCAAAGTGCTGGCATTACAGGCGTGAGCCACCACACCCGGCCCTGTATTCCTTTTTTTGAGATGAACAGCTCTCCAGGGAAATTGTGGAGTTACCATGACATTTCGCTGTGAACCCTCTCCAGCTCAGATCAGCTCTGCAACCCAATGACAACTTGTCTCTTGGGCTTACTGTCCTGTGAAATGTCAGCCCAAGTTTCCCAGAAGTTGTGTGGGTATGATGAGTCAGAGTGCTTTTCCTCAGTGGGACAGTTGTTGGTCCTCTTAATTTTGGTGTATGTGTTTCAAAGTATCTAAACCTCTAGTCTGATCTATATATGATATCCTGTTAATTGTATTATTATTTTGATTATCTTGCTTGAAGGTTCATACGTTTCCATTTGATGGAAATAAAGTTTTTTTTTCTGCTTATAGAAAAATAAAATTAAATGCAGTTTTAGATTCAGTAGATTTGGAGTGGAATCCGAGAGTCTGAGTTTCTCTTAGAATTAGCCTCCATTAATGCAGACACTGCTAGTCCAGGGCACATGTTCGGGAGCAAAGCTGTAGAGCTCAGTACAGGTGTCAGAGACGCTGTTTGAGAATCTCAGAAGGGTTATAGAACCAGTTCACAGCAAAATGCATAAACGCATAATTTATATGCAATTGCAAAGGATTTGCAGGGTCTCTGCACGCTACCCTTAGGCTCAAGGTTCACAGGACACACACTTCAACCTGGTTCTCATGAGGAAGTGACAGGAATCTTTAAATAATAATGTCCAATATCTATTGAGCACCTACTATATGCCTTGACATTGTGCTGAGTGATCTTGACATATTAGCTCATTTAATCTTCACAACAAACCTATGAGGTAGGTACTATTATTATCATTCTCATTTTACAAATAACAGGCGGATCACTCAAGGCCAGGAGTTTGAGATCAGCCTGGCCAACATGGTGAAACTCTAACAAAATTACAAAAATTAGCTGGGTGTAGTGGGGCACGCCTGTAATCCCAGCTAATGGTGAGGCTGAGGCAGGAGAATCACTTGAACCTGAGAGGTAGAGGTTGCAGTGAGCTGAGATCACGCCATTGCACTCCAGCCTGAGTGACAGAGTGAGACTCCATCTCAAAAAGAAAATCAATCAATAAATAAGGAAGCTGATGTATAGAAAGTTCTAAGCAATTTGTCCACGGGTATTCAGTGGAGTATTCAGGAACTGGATTCCTGAACCCACGTGTTTAATTACTATGTTGTGCTGCACCTAATGTGTAGTAATTACTCTGAAGAAAGTAATTACTTTCTTCAAAGAGAGTGAAAATGTGGGCTGACTCTACCTGAGATTCTCAAATTCTGATGGGTATCAGAATCTCCTGGGGGATTTGTTAAACATAATTATCAAACAATGCTTGGATTCCAGCTTAGCTTCTGAATCAGAATCTCTGGAATGGGGCTGGGTGATTGTGCTTAACTGATACCCAAGATGATTCTGATGTGCAAAATTTGAGCATCATTGTCACAGACTTTTCGAAGGCAGAGTTTTAAGAGTCCAAAGGAAAGTTAGATGAAGTTTCTTGTGTGAGAAACTTAGACACGGAAAGTGGTTCTGAGAGTTAGGAGGCTCCCAGAAATGTATTTCTGACTCTGATCTTGATAAAGGAGAAAAGTGTAGAGGCCTTAGAAAATTCCTTTGGTGTTCCATCGGATTATTCCTTAATACAGTCACTTAGAAGGAGAAAGGCTCACTTTGAAAAGTTCACTTTATTGAGGACACAAAAAAGTACTTATAAAGGGGCGCTGATGATCTGTAAAAATAGTGTAGGAGAGTTAACCCCATTCCCCACTTCTTCTTTTCCTTTTTTTTTTTTTTTTCTTTTGAGATGGAGTTTCACTCTTGTCACCCAGGCTGGAGTGCAGTGGCGCATTCTCAGCTTACTGCAACCTCTGCCCCCTGGGTTCAAGCAATTTTCCTGCTTCAACCTCCCAAGTAGCTGGGATTACAGGTGTGCACCACAACACCCGGCTAATTTTTTGTATTTTTTGTAGAGACAGGGTTTTGCCATGTTGGGCAGGCTGATCTCAAACTCCTGACCTCAGGTGATCTGCCTGCCCCAGCCTCCCAAAATGCTGGGATTACAGGCGCGAGCCACCATGCCTGGCCACCCCATTCCCCATTTCTAACCCCAGATAAGCTTAAGTATGTGTGAGGGGGAAAGAGCTAATAACAACAAGAAAAAGGAGATGTGTGTCGGTTGGGGGCACAGCTGCCTCGTTCCTGAACTCTTGCTTTACTTTTCTTTTTCTCATTCATTTATTCCAGCTTTTTTTTTTAAAGCTGCATGTGCCCTCATTTTGCCAAGTATACTCTAGGAACTAGGAAGTCCGCTCCCTTCACTTAAGGTCCATTAACCACAAAGATCAATCCAAGGATGAGTGCTAGGAGAGGAGCAAGTGTAGTGTCAGAAGAGCACAAATGGGGTCCTAAGCAGAAGAGGAATCGCAAGATGAAAGAAGGGCACATTTTACCATGATTTCTAAAACAGGTAGAGCAGGTGTATTCTGACTGGAGGCCAGTAACTACATAGCAATCCTACCTAAGATTTGTAATTTTAATGTTTAATTTTTATCTGAGACAGAGTCTTGCTCTGTCGCCCAGGCTGGAGTGCAGTGGCACTGTCATGTCTCACTGCAGCCTTATCTCCTAGGCTCAAGTGATCCTTCCACCTCAGCCCCCTGAGTAGCTGGGACTACAGGCCTTGTGTCACTGTGCCCAGCTATTTTTTTTTTTTTTTAATTTTGTGGAGAAGGGGTCTTGCAGTGTTGTCAGTGCTGGTCTTGAACACCTGGACTCAAGCAACCCACTTGCCTCAACCTCCAAAAGTGCTGAGATTACAGGCATGAACCACTGTACCCAATCTATTTTTATTTTTTAAGAGACAGGGTCGGCCGGGCGCGGTGGCTCAAGCCTGTAATCCCAGCACTGTGGGAGGCCGAGGTGGGTGGATCACGAGGTCAAGAGATCGAGACCATCCTGGTTAACATGGTGAAACCCCGTCTCTACTAAAAATACAAAAAATCAGCTGGGCATGGTGGCGCATGCCTGTAATCCCAGCGACTCAGGAGGCTGGGGCAGGAGAATTGCCTGAACCTGGGAGGCGGACGTTGCGGTGAGCCGAGATCGCGCCATTGCACTCCAGCCTGGGTAGCAAGAGCGATACTCCGTCTCAAAAAAAAAAAAAAAAAAAAAAAGAGAGACAGGGTCTCACTATTTGTCTAGGCTGGACTTGAACTCCTGGGCTCAAGTGATCCTCCCACCTCAGCCTCCTCAGTAGCTGGGGCTACAGGTATATGCCACTGTACCCAGCCTGTCCAAGATTTAAAAAAAAAGAATACATGTGATATCTTTAAGATTATAGATATTTTATAGGTCATTAATTTACATATTTCTGGTGACATATTTTTAAGGAGATTGTTGAAGAGATATTTGTGGGCCGGGCATGGTGGTTCATGCCTGTAATCCCAGCACTTTGGGAGGCCAAGGCAGACAGATCACAAGGTCAGGAGTTCGAGACCAGCCTGGCCAATATGGTGAAACCCCGTCTCTCCTAAAAACACAAAAATTAGCCAGGCGTGGTGGCGGGCGCCTGAAGTCTCAGCTACTTGGGAGGCTGAGGCAGGAGAATGGCTTGAACCCAGGAGGCAGAGGTTGCAGTGAGCTGAGATCGAGTCACTGCACTCCAGCCTGCGTGACAGGGTGAGATTCCATCTCAAAAAAAAAAAAAAAAAGAAAGGCAAAAGAAAAAAAAAAAGATGGCTTTCATATCTAAGTGAGGCTCCACCCCTTTCACGTCATCCACATCAACAAGATGTTGTCTTGTGCTGAGGCTGACAGGCTCCAAACAGGCATGCGAGGTGCCTTTGGAAAGCCCCAGGGCACTGTAGCTGGGGTTCATACTGGCCAAGTTATCATGTCCACTGGCACCAAGCTGCAGAACAAGGAGCATGTGATTGAGGCCCTGCACAGGGCCAAGTTCAAGTTCCTTGGCCACCAGAAGATCCACATCTCCAAGAAGTGGGGCTTCACCAAGTTCAATGCCAGTGAATTTGTAGACATGGTGGCTGAGAAGCGGCTCATCCCAGATGGATGTGGGGCCAAGTACATCCCCAATTGTGGCCCTCTGGACAAACGGCAGGCCCTGCACTCATGAGGGCTTCCACTGTGCTGCCCCTCTTATACTCACCAATAAATTCTACTTCCTGTCAAAAACAAACAAACCAAAAGAACAAGTCACGACAAACCAACACTGTTTCTAGGGAACCACGGTAGGTAGTGGGTTGAGTGGGTGGTAGGGAAGCAGAAACAGCAGGTATAGATCCACAGAAGTATTTGTTTTTGAAAAAACATGCATTGTGTGTCAGCATATGTCAGACATTTGCTAGACAATTGCATGTATTTTTTTAAATTTGATCATTACTAGAACCTTAATAAGAAAACACTGTCTTAAAAAAAAAAAAAAAAAAAAGAAAAGAAAAGAAAAAAGAAAACATTGTCTTTCTAAAACACAACAATATAGAATCCAGGCCCTCCAACCCTGACACTGAAGGAGAGATTGGTAGAAGGAGAGTATCTTTCCAGAGCTTGGTTGCCCATCCACAGGACCCCAATTCAGATCCTAGACACACCCTCACCTCCTTTTTATGGTTTTTCACTAAAGATTGTAACTAAACTCCTCACACTTGGGAATTGGCTCAAGTGTTAACAGAAGACTTTCCCCTTAATACTCCGTAGCAAAGCTGAAAAAGGACTGGAAGCCATAAACACCTTTAGGAAAGATAGGACATAAAATGGAGATACACATGAAAAAGGACCAGAATCTAGATAATCTGGTTTGCAAGATAAAGTTTACTCATCTTGGGCTGGGCGCGGTGGCTCAAGCCTGTAATCCCAGCACTTTGGGAGGCCGAGGCGGGTGGATCACAAGGTCAAGAGATCGAGACCATCCTGGTCAACATGGTGAAACCCCGTCTCTACTAAAAATACAAAAAATTAGCTGGGCATGGTGGCACGTGCCTGTAATCCCAGCTACTCAGGAGGCTGAGGCAGGAGAATTGCCTGAACCTGGGAGGCGGAGGTTGCGGTGAGCCGAGATCGCGCCATTGCACTCCAGCCTGGATAACAAGAGCAAAACTCCATCTCAAAAAAAAAAAAAAAAAGTGTACTCATCTTTATTTAGAGTCTTCTGCAGAGACTATGACTTCTTTTCACTACCAGGTACTTAATTTTAAATGACTGTTGTTAGCATTTCTCTACCTATATTCAGTGATTTTTCTTTACCCCAGTTGTACTGTTTAGTTACAAATGGTTATAACCTACCTTCTAGAACCAATCTTATCTTCCACTAATCCCCAATGTGAGTTCCTCGTTTCACAGCCTTTCCTACTCACAAAGACTTCAGAAAAGCCATTTGTTTTGCCTCCTCTACGCTTAAACCATTGCTCAGTCTTCAAAGTTTATTCTTCCTCCGCACCCTTTTCTATTGACTCAGATTGTTTTATTCAGGGCTTTGATGTTTCTAGGACCAGAAATTCAATTAAGTTAGTTTAAGTAAAAGGTTTTCTTAGAACAATGACATGAAATTTCTCAGAAATACCAATCAAAGTTTTCTTGAGCCTTGTATTTGTTGTGAATATTTTAGGCTTAAACACATTTTTTTTTCTCACATAAGAAATCTGGAGGCAGCCAGTTGCTGGTGGTTATTTTTAGTAGAGCTCAACATTATAAAGACCAATGACTTAAACCAAATTCCTTCACATAGAAAAAAAAAAAAAGACCAGTTATGCTGCATTTCTTGGTCTTTCCCTCATAATCAAAAGATGGCTGCTGTAGCTCTAGACATCAGGTTCACGTTCAAAGAAGGTGGAAAGGAAGGGAAGGGAAGTCAGTCTTTTCCCGTAGTCAGGAAAACAAAAACAAAGAAACCTGCCAGTAGATATCTGCTTAGATTACATGAACAAGAACTCTATCACATAGCTGCTAACGAAGGAAGTGAAATGACAAGACACATACTCAGAAAAAATGTACACATGAAGAATTATTATGAAGAATATATGAAGAACTTCCACAATTAAGAATAAGATAAATAACACAATAGAAAAATGGCAAAAGATATGAACGGGCAGTTAATAGAAGAGGAAACATTTTTGGTAAATACATTTCAGGAAAGACATCCAACCACATTAGTGACCAGGGAAATGTAAATTAAGACTACATTGAGATACACATTATTCCTACTAAACTAGCAAAAGTTAAGAAGTCTCAGAATATTGCATTGATGAGAATCTGGAGTTGTATCCACCACTAGTGGGGGTGTAGATGAAATGGTATAACCATTTAGTAATGCAATCTGAGATTATCTCATGAAGTTGAATGTGGACATACTACATAATGCAGCTAGTAATTCCACACAAGAGACATGTACACAAATGCCTGCAGCAGCATTATTTGCATAAATGAAAACCCAGATGATTATTGTCAGAAGAATGAATAAAGTGATGTACTAATATGACAGACCTACTATTGCAGCAACATGAATGAATGTAAGAAATATAATTGAGTGAAAAAAAAGTCAAGGGCAGAAGATTAAATCTTTGGCATAATATTTTTAAAAGCTAAAAAAACAAGCAAGCTAAACACTACATATTTTTAGAGATACATACACATGTAGTTAAACGATAGGGAAAAAGCAAAGCTAAAAAAAAGGTAAACATAAAATTCAGGAGCATTTAAAGACTGCAATGATCCAGGTGTTTAGTTGAATAGCATCATAGATTCATAGTTGCCCATTTTATTATGCCTCATAGCTTATTTTTATTTATTTAATTTTGAGATGCAGTCTCGCTCTGTCGCCCAGGCTGGAGTACAGGTGGTGTGATTTCAGCTCACTGCAACCTCTGTCTCCCAGATTCAAGTGATTCTCCTGCCTCAGCCTCCCAAGTAGCTGGTACTACAGGTATGTACCACCATGCCTGGCTAATTTTTTTGTATTTTTAGTAGAGATGGGATTTCACCATGTTGGTCAAGCTGGTCCCAAACTCCTGACCTCAAATGATCTATCCACATTGGCCTCCCAAAGTGCTGGGATTACAGGTGTGAGCCACCACGCCCGGCCTTTCCATAACTTATTTATATGTCATATATTTATGTATCAAATATTATATGATAAAAACTTTAATAAGGTATGAAGCAAATAACTTTGACAAAAGTGTAAAAAAGATGAAAATACACCACACTGTGAAATTTTCTTTCTGGAGCATATGTACTGGGGAACCAGATGTTTACATTTTTAGTCATTTTAGTTTTACAGTGCTATTTGAGTATAATCAAAGCTATAATTGCTTCAGTCCATTTGGGGGAAAGGACATAAGCACATGGAAACAAAAATATCCTAAGGGAATTGAGTCTTATGACTTTGCAGACAATTTTTGAAATAAATATGTTGCTGAGACAGTAAGTGCTGTTAGAATGGAGAGACGGAGATTTACTGATATTGTGTTAAAGAGCGGTGCAAGCAGAGGAGTGGGGACAGAATTCAGCATGCAGAGGTATCGAAAGAGAAAGTGAAAATTCGGCATGTAGATTGCAGACTCCTTTTCAAGAAGTTTAGTAATGACAGAAGGGAGGAAATGAGCTTCTTTCTTCTTCAGGGAGCTTTAGGACTGTTCTTTTTTTTTGGAGATGGAGTCTTGGTCTATCACCGAGGCTGGAGTGCAGTTGTGTGATCTCAGCTCACTGTGACCTCTGCCTCCAGGGTTCAAGCAATTCTCTGCCTCAGCCTCCCAAGTAGCTGGGATTACGGGCGCCCACCACCATGCCTGGCAATTTTTTGTGTTTTTAGTAGAGACGGGGTTCACCGTCTTGGCTAGGCTGGTCTTGAACTCCTGACCTCATGATTCACCTGCCTTGGCCTCCCAAAATGCTTGTATTACAGGCATGAGCCACCGCCCCCAGCTAGGACTGTCTTCTGAAGCTCCATCCTACTTTGCTTTTGTTTTTGATGCCTATATCACATGGAGAAAAATATAGGCCCAAGGGCAAACTTTGTTAAGCATTTATGCAAGCCTCTGAGGTGTCTTTCTCCCTCCCACCCTCCCTTCTTCCCTTCCTCCCTTTCTTCCTCCCTCTCTCCCTTTCTCCCTCCCTCTCTCTCTTTCTCCCTTTCCCCTTTCCTTTCTTCTTTCCTCCTTCCCTTCCTTTCCCTTTCCCGTTCCCTTTCTTTCATTTTTTTCTGGGATGCACAAACTCCAGAGACATGAGTCAGTGCTCTTGCCTCTGAGGTTTCATGTTCAGTCCAGGGACGACACACTCATAGCTACCTATCTCCTCCGGGGATATTACTAGTGTTCCAGTTTTTTGTTTTTGAGATGGAGTCTCGCTCTGTCACCAGACTGGAGTGCAGTGGCGTGATCTCAGCTCACTGCAACCTCCACCTCCCAGGTTCAAGTGATTCTCCTGCCTCAGCCCCCAAGTAGCTGGGATTACAGGCGTCCACCACCATGCCCAGCTAATTTTTGTATTTTTAGTAAAGACAGGAGTTCACCGTGTTAGCCAGGATGGTCTCGATCTCCTGATCTCGTGATCCGCCCTCCTCGGCCTCCCAAAGTGCTGGGATTACAGGCAAGAGCCACGGCGCCTAGCCTATGTTATTATTTAATTTGTGTTTCCTTTTTAAAAAATTATTATTGCCGGGCGTGGTGGCTCACACCTGTAATCCTAGCACTTTGGAAGGTCATACCAGGTGGATCATGAGGTCAGGAGTTTGAGACCAGCTTGGCCAAGATGGTGAAACTCTGTCTTTAAAAAAAAAAATTATTATTTTCACCACCATTTCAAAGTTATTTACCTCATTCTCAATTCCAATGATCACACCAGAATCCATTTATGACAACAAACTAAACAAAAAAAAAATTCCCCCCAAAAGGAATGAAACTTCCCCACTCCAAAACAAAATGATATTTTTTAGTCATTCTTTCCAAAAATGAGGGCTTATTAATTGCTTTTTTTTTTTTTTTTTTTTTTTTGAGGTGGAGCCTCCCTGTCGCCCAGGCTGGAATGCAGTGGTGCAATTCTCCGATCACTGCAACCTCCGCCTCTTGGGTTCAAGCGATTCTCCTGCCTCAGTGTCCGGACTAGCTGGGATTACAGGTGCTCACCACCTGTTAGAATTTTTGTATTTGTATTGCTCCCAGGTAAAATCCCTACTCTGTGTACCACCTGTAAACTTACAACACACTTCTATTACAGTGTTCATTTAATCACATGCTTTCTAACTGGGCCTCAGGCTAACCCTTGAGGGTAGAGACATTCTCTTGTTTGTTTTAGCTTCTCCACAGTTGTGTACCAGGTATCCATTAGGGGCTCAATAAATGTTGAATTAATGAATTCGTGAATAAACAAAAAATCACGAATCAGTAAGATTTTTTGAATGTTATTTTTGAAA